CTGTTATTACTTGCACGTGTACAGCTCCACCTGCTGGTTTAGCAGTTTCGTGTTTACCAGCTTCACGGTTTTCTGGTTACTGAATAAACACCCAAGCTAAAAACACCAGTACAACCCCTGTATTCTTCAACACCAGTACCCCTCTATTCTTCTAATACAAAATGGTGTTAGAGGTATTACAGCAGAAATATTTCCTCAGTCTTACCGACCAAGATATGGGCTACATACATTTAAACTCAAGGGATGTGAAATCCAAGTTCTAGAACTCAAACACCCATCAGATGTTGGAATCTCAAACACGTCACATGCAGAATTTACCTATGAAAGGAAAGCCACTTGACTCCTTCACACAATACAACTCCTGATGTCATGAGCAGTTCTGCAAAGTACTGTGTCTCAATTCCTTCTTCTTCGTGCTTTTTAAACTGGATACCAGACGTTGTCAACAGTTCAATAGAGTCCTGAGCATACATATCTTCTCTAAAAACAGAGAGGAAAAGTAAATTTCCAAAATCTACAAGTCTCAATGAGGTAACATTTCTTTTTTGCTATTCATTCCACAGACTAGGAACAATTTAATTTTCTTCTAGGTTAATTACAAAACCAACCATTTTTCAAAGTTTATTTTTAACCTTCATTATCACTTTTTTTAACCTTCATTATCATTTTACCATTCCCAGCACCTCCATTCTTACCATATTCATAAAAAAATTAGCTCCTGCTCCTTTTCCAGTTACCTATAATCACCCTTTTGCAAGTCTATAGATGAAAGTGCATCTGTAGAACTTATCTGGTAAAATATCTGTATAAATCACTTGAATTGTGACAAATTAAATGTAACAGTTGAAGCAGTAACACATTACATTGCAGAAATACGAGAAATACAATACAGATCCCAGTACTGAATTAGTTCTGTACAAAATATTTCTCAGAAGTTTTTTGTGATTTAAGCTTATGTAAATATTTAGACATGTTCATAAGAACTTTTTTTTCAGTAAAACTGGAAATGGAGTACTTGCTCCATTTAGCAAAACCTTAGAATTCAGAGATCCTGACTTTTTCTGTCTAAATTATTTCTTTCTAAACAATTTGTTTTAACTTTAAAAGCCTATTTTGGACCTAAAATTTAAGAGGATGAAATAATTCCTCTACCTTTTTTGACCCCTCCTACCTTTGTGTTTATTCCCTTTAACACCACCTTTTTTTTTTGGCAATGTTTTAAGAACCTCATGCTGAAATTCATGTTTTTGAGCTGATTTTCTCCCTTAAGTTTTATCTGTATCATCATTACAAAAACATGGAATGGTTAAATGAAGGAAAAAAAAAGTAAGCATGTAAGTACTTAGAGAATGAAGCTCATTTTACTGTCCGTAACATACTACTCCACAAAATCTCTTCAGTGTACAGTTTCAAATTTTAATAAAAAACAACAAAACAAAAACACAAGAAAACCTAGACAAGACAACCAATATATCAAACTTGACTATTAGATTCAGTCATAGATCTGTATTCCTTATTCCTAAGAGCAAGTCATCATTCTTTAGAACACAGACATATCCTCAAGATGTGTTACATCTTTTTTCCTCACTCCCACACAGCTGCCCTTTGGTTCTCCAGCTTTGAGGCAGCAGCTTCTCAACACCTGTCTGTATCTATAACACATTAAAGAACCCATCCAAAACAAAGGCACCATTTAACAAAAAGGGGGTTTCATTCTAGTTGCTGCTCTGTACTAATCAGGTGCAGAGCATGATTAGAGAAATATTTATGCTCTTTAGAAGCACACTAAAACAAGACCTGGCTGGAACCACACACACACAAAAAATTACCTTCTAGGAACAACAAACAGCTGTTTTGCTTTAGGAGGAGAACATTTGGCACAGTGCCATTTCCCAAAAGGATGTTTATAAACGGACAAAAAAAGGTTGTCCATCCACATATTAAAAAAAAAAAAAATATATATATATATATATATATATATATATATGAATTTGTCATGCAGTACTTACCAAGTTTCTATTTTTCTATAACCCCCACCATCAACTAGCAACAAGGTAATTTGGTGATTACCTGTATCTTGCCTTACTGAACTGTCTTATCTCTGCAGCATCTGGCACAAATAGACGGAAGGCTACTTTTGCTTTCAGTTGTTTGACGTTAAGTAGATCTTTGAAGCTCAGAAAATAAATGAAGTGCAGCATAGGCCCTTCTTCATAGATCACAGTCTGGAAGTTATTAATTCCTTTTTCTCCCATAATTAGTAGTATTAGTATATTTTTCTATTTAAGAAAATGGGTAACTCTCATCCAGCATTTATATGGACAGGTAAGTTCAGAGATACCAAAACATTAAATCTGTGCTTACTTTTCCTTCAAGAGACAATTCACACAAGACTAAACAGAGCATGTCATTGCTCAGATCAAACTGATGTGTGACAATCCACACCACTGCCTGTTTAAAAGAGCACAAAGATCAAGAGAGGCAGCAGAGGTTTTCCTCCTAGGAACTCCAACTACTTTGAAAACAAGTCTTTTCATCTGCAGAAAAAATAAAGGTCTGTTCTCTAAAACCTTCTTCATAGGCTGTGAGTTTAACTCATGTGTATAAAGTTGTCCAGTTCTCAACTTGTAACACAACTGCCAAAAACTCCAAGGTTTAAACGTGTGAGAAGTGTTTGTACTGATATTCAATTCAGTAGATAATCAACATATGAGAATCTATCAGACCAATTTTGCTTACTTCCAAAAAACAAAACCAAGATACAAGTAACTTTGTTGACCAGCTAAAGATATAATTAGAGCACCAGATAAGCTTTTGATCCCCCTGAAAAAGTGAGGTTTATGCTTAAAAAGTTTTATCACTGATAAAAATCACATTTTGAAATAGAGTCCACGGTATTATTCCAATACAGTAAAAGTCAGCTTGCTTTTTAACCAAAAAAATAGACAAAATAAATCAGAATGATAGTATCTGACATACTTTTTTAGTCACTTTAATTATTTTTTTTTTAAGTGTTGGTATTTTCCATTTAAAGTATGTAAAGAAACAATATGTGATTTCTATAACAAGTAGTAAGAGTTAAACTAAGTTAAGGCAGAAGCACTCTGAAATGCTAAACATGAAAACACAGAGCTAACTCTTGGACTAAGTATAAAATGCCTTCCATATTTTTTTTAAACTGCTTAGCATTTTTGACCAAATTACCAACAGCAAGACAGACTGCACAGAAATGAGGGAAGAAATCACGTTTGGCTGACAGAAGTTTTCCTTACAGGAGTATTTATGGTATTCCAGTACTACATTCAGATAGATAATGAAGTTGCTACAGTATTTATACATTTTCAGTAAGTCAGGAACATACGTTTAGCAGCACAGAACTGAATACTTACGTTAAGTTAAATTTAAAATTAAATTGCCAAGTTGAAGTTCCTGGAGGGTATTCTCCTTGCTCATTCATAAACGTCAGTCCTAGTTGAATTATTTTTAGCAAGTCGACATTGCAGCGTAAGAGTTGGTACTGATAGTCTGCATTGCTTCTGAATTCTCCAATAGGCCTTGCAACTACTCCTGGAAATTCTGTGTCCTGCAAGAGCAGAATTTAAACTTGAACACACAACAACCATATAGATCTAACCATATCATAGCTGAAGAGTACTGTGTGCAAAATTAACTTTTAAAAAGATAAAAGATTAGGATCCAGATGTTCATGCAGCACTAATTCAACATTAAGACTTCCTCGGGCTTTCGATTTAAAAGGATGAGCAAATTTACTGACCTCAGCTGAAGTCACGATTTCTGCAGTAATTTGCTAGACAGACACCAAGCACCCACTTACCATAGCTACGTAGTTATACTTCCGTATAACTTGACGAATTTTCTTCATCTCTTCATCCAAGTTACAAGCCCAAACTTCACAGATTCTTTGGCTATGATCTACGGTAGCTGCTGGCATAGTGGGGGGCTTTAGAGACCATACATCAAATGTTACACTTGACCGAGGATTGGTTTCATAAAGAGAACTTCAACTGTTTATTTTTTTAGCCTAAGAGAAAAACAAAGCAGAGCATCAAAGTGTAACGTTTTACTCTCAGTTTATCTGAAGAAAAAAAAAAAAGGCTTAAGCACTACATCCACACTTTATCCTCGCGGTTTCACAAAAGCAGGACAACATAGCCACAGGAATTTCGGCTCCGCGAGCTCAGATTACCATCAGAAACCAAACCCCTGCGGTTTCGTTAGCGACTCTTTCCCGCACAAGGGTGGCCAGGCGCACTGGTGACACGGATACCGGAGACACCGGCTCCCCGGGCGCTCCCGCCCCGCGGCTCGGCAGGCGCGTTCCTGCGGACCCCCGGGCTGCGTGCAGCAGGGAACGGAGCGGCAGAGCAGAGTCACGGCAGCGCCGGGGTGCCGCGGGGGCCTCCCGAGGCGGGAGCGGCTCCCAAGGACCCCGCTAACCCAGCGAGGGGCGCGCGGAGACCGACACACGGCCGGCCGGGTTCCCGCGCGCGTGAAAGGCCCCGGGAGCGCCCGGAGGAGCCGCGGAGCGCGGGGGTCCCGCAGGGCCCCGCTCCGGTGCCGGTGTCCCCGCCCGGTGCCCGCGGCGCCGCCCCCGCTCACCCCTCGCGCTCCGGCCGGGCCGCGCCGGGTCTGGGAGGCCCCGCGCGGCCCCCGCGAGCCGCAGGAAGCGCTGCTGCCCCCGGCGCCGCCGCCGCGCGCACAAAGCCATTACATCATCGCCGCGCGCCGCGGCCTTTCCCCCCTCCCCTCTGGCCAATCGCCGGCCGCGCCGCCGCTCCCCTCCCGCCCCGCCCCTCCGCCGCTCGGGTCGCGGCGCGCGGCGCTGACGCGGCCCCGCCGCCGGCGGCTCCGGGGCGGGGCAGGGGCGGCGGGGCCGCCGTCGCGCGCAGGCGCGCGCGGGCGCTCGGTGAGGTGCGCGCGGTGAGGTGCGCGCGGTGCCGCGGGTGCGCTCGCGCCCCTCCGGTGCCGCCGCGCGCGCGATGAACTGGCTGTTCCCGCTCGCCAAGGGCGGCGCCGCCCCCGCCTCTGCCGCGCCGCCCGCGCGCACCGGCCTCCAGCAGCAGCGGCAGCGCCAGGTCGAGTCCCTGCGCGCCGCGCACGCCTCGTGAGTGGCCGCGGCGGGCGCGGGGACGGGAGGGCCGCGGCGTGTCGCCCGTCCCGGGGCCGCAGCGGGGCCGCGCGGCGTCGGTGGCGTGTCGGTAGCGTGCCGTGTCTCTCCATGCGCGGACACGGGAGCCCGGCTGCGCCCCGTCCCCTCCCCGCGAGGCCTGGCTGGGTCCTCGCGGCCGTGTGGGTAAACAGGGCCCCCGAGCCGGCGGCGCCGCAGCCCGGGCCGGCCCAGCCCCGCGCTGTCCCGGGGCCGAGGGGTCCCGCCGAGCGGTGCCGCGGGGTCCCCGCCGGAGGACAGTGCGATGTGGGAACCCGGCGGGCTGTGTGCAGGAATTCGGAAACCGAAACTCCGGCTGGCTGTCGGGGAGGCGTCCCCGCTGGCTTCGGTGGGGCCCGGCCGGGTGATCGGGCGCGGGTCGGCGTGCCCGGGTTCACTTGCCATGGCCCGGAAAGCCTGCTCATGGGGTGTAATGTCTTCGGAGTGACGCCACCGCGTCTTGCGATAAAGCCTCTCTGGAAGCTGCTTGTCATAGCGTAGTTGGTTAAAAGTTGAGACTAAAACGTGGAGCACCAAGGAGCTGTGTGGCGCAGTGGCATAGCAGCCCTACTGGCTTTACACTTTCCTGGTGTTCAGTGCTACCTGCTAAAAACTGCCTGCTCCTTAAAAACTAGTTTTGTTTAGATGGTGAGAAGAGGCCAGTTGTGTTTACTCCTGTTTGACATCCACAATTTTAAAGTAAAAAGTTTACTCCCTCTTGGCAGTATGCTGCCCTGTTTTGCCTAGTCGTTTCAAACCCCTCACCTTTTGAAAGGAGATCCACATTCCATACATTTGAAGTTATCGTTACAGTGAAGTAAGCATTCTGCTGACATACGACTTCCTAGGATTTCTGTAGAACTGAAATGGTAGCTGCCTCCAAAACAATTCAGAAAAAGGACAGGGAATGCTTCCTGTCACATCATACTGACACTAGAAGTGGAAGAGATACTAAATGCATTTCAAAGTTTAATAACTGCAGATAGTTTCCATTCCTAATTTTTTTTTTAATTATCACATAGGGAACATAAATATGATGGTATTCTAAGTATTGTTGCTTGAATAAGTGTAAGTCTGTTCAGAGCTAATTTCACAGATATTTTGGACACAATTCACTTCCCAAGGAGCTGTTCTTGTGGGCATCTCTTAAGTTAACTATAGGATCTTAGTTAACTTAAAAGTTTTTGTTAGGCTTGGCCTTTTGTTTATATCCACTTTTTAAAAATCTGGCAACGAGATGAGCTCATCCTGAATTAAGTCCCCAAAAAAGGGATCAGTTTTTGTCAGCTTGCTGGACTGGTTTGCTACTGTTTGTGCAGGCACCAGCTCAAGCACAGGCAGTGAGGGAATGGATGCTGTAGCCAGGAATTGAGGTGAGGGGTAGGGATATGGTACCTGCCCAAATGTTATTCCTTTGTGAGTACTGTTGTTGCTCTTCACCAAAATGCTCAAAATTCTTGGTATGCTGTAGTTCACTAAGTTAGTCAAGTTTGGTTTGTGTCGTCTTAGGTCATAAAAGCTCAGGTGTGTGTGTGATCTTAATTTCAGTAAAGCAGCTGGCTTTCCTATACACAATCCCTCTCAGGTTAGGAGCTTGAAATAAAACCTTTGCATTTAAAAAAGAGATTTTTTATATTTGCTGTTGTTCTAGACAAAGTTAAGAATGTATCATTTTTTCAGTGTGCTCATTCCCACTTGGGGAAGCAACAACTAAGGTTATTAGTTCAGGGTTTTTCCTAAGCAGGGTTATAACTGTTTGAACATTCGATGAGATTCTGGCTTTCTGGTTCCTCACTCTCTGTCCTCATCTTCCTCCCCAGTATCCACGTGAGTGGAGTGTAATTATATACCCTTCTCAAAAGGATTTTGCAGCAGGCTAATGAAAAGTGCGACAGATGATTACAGGGCAGAGATGTGAGTGAGAGATTCCAGGGAGAATCCTTCAGTTAAGAATGAGAAGTTGCAGATAGTGGTGTGTGGTGTAACACAGCAGAACCCTTGATTTGAATTCTCCTGTGCTGAAGATATTTGGTATTTTCTTCAAACAGCACGTGATTTCACTGGGAAAGAGCAAATACTGAGTTGTCTATGAGAGGAATAAGATCAGGCTGCAAAAAGCAAGATTCATAGCTGAGTTAGTGTCTTACTCCCATTTGTTCCCCAAGCTTTTAAAGACTTCGTTTTGAAGCCCTAAATTCTGTGCCCCAGTAGTGCCTTGGAAGGACACAAAACACTCCCAATACTACTCTTAACACACATTTGCAGGTAATGTGTTCTGGGTTTCTTGAGAAAGGAGTGTATGGAGTGTACCTGGCAGTGGATGGAGGAGAATTTCTGAAGTTGGAACAAAAGATGTTTTCTGGGAACACCTGGCTGGCATCATTTGCCATTGGAGCCGTGTTCCCTCCCCTGTATAAGGGGAGGTTACAAAGAGTGTTATTAACCAGGTGCAAGCAGGAAAAATACATGGAAGAGCAATCAGTCTGCTTTTACGGTTTGTTTTGATTCATTATAAGAGGAAGTTTGTTTTCTGCCCTTCTGTCTTTTACTCTCAGCTTAGATATGTTCGTATTGCCTAGAAATTCCGCTTCTGAGCTACACCTCCTCCACATTCTCTGGGATGCTCTCTTTCAAAACAGTCTTGCTGTGCATGGAAATTGTAGAATGCTTTGAGTATTGAGCTAATAATGTAGCTCATTTCAAGATTTTTTCCCCTATAATTTACCTGTTGCAGGAAAAACAAATTTGGATTTTACCTTACTAGATTTTGTAAGGCTCATCCAGTGCTTTCAGGAGATCCTGGATCTTGAGTCTCACTGGAGCTTTACATTGTTGAATGCAACTCTACTCCAGATAATTCTTGAAAGCTTGTGCAAGTGAGCTTGGTGCACATAGTAAAAACTACTGTTAAATATTAGGCTAATCTATTAAGGAAGAATGCCTAGTCTAATAAACATTCTGCATATTGATCTGAAGGCAGTGTTGCAGAGCAATGTGAACCTGATATAATGCCTTGGTGAAATAAATGTTTAATCAGATAAAATTCAGTATATTAAAATAACACTGATGTGTTGTCTTAAGCCAGTAATGGGAGAAAGATAAGTTGAGATTATTGTCAGAAGCATGAGTAGTGTGATTTGTCCTACTATAGGTCATTTGCTTGTGACCATTTATGAGGTTTAAATGTTAAATCCACTATTTTTTTTGCTTTAATCTTAATATTCAATATAGAATGCTGAAGACTATTTGCATACTCCAGCATTTTCAATTTTGTTCTTACAGGGCTTTTCAAAACTAAACTGAATACAAATGTCTGAAGTCATGCTTGTTTCTTTTAGACTTTCAGCTGTTATATTGACCATGCAATGGATGCTAACAATTTTTTCTTTGACAGCATTGCAGAAATACAGAAAGATGTGGAATATCGATTGCCATTCACTGTAAACAACTTGACAATTAACATTAACATGTAAGTAGAGTGGGCTGCGTCTATGCATATCTTGAAAATTAAAATTGTTCTTAAAAAAAAAAAAAACAACTAACTGGTAATAGAATATAAGCTGCTCCCAGCTCATAATTAATTTCAGGAACCATAACCTGGATTTATATTAGTGGTTATAGTGATCTGGGTGGAATTGGCTTTGTACAAGATACAGATGTTTAGCTGAGAGCAAAATCATATTTCACTGTTTTCAGTTCCCAACATTGCTGTGTGATTTTAGTTGAAGGTAACTAGGGGAAAATGCTTGAGGATTTCTGGTAACTTTGATTCTCTGCCACTGAAAATAAACTTGATTGGTAATTTCTTAGTCTGCTATAACTCCATATTCTTACCCTGCTGAAGGTTCTGTAACTCAAGTGATTTATTGTAATATTAGCTGCAAATTTACTTTGGGGGCACACTTTGCTCTGACAAATGTTGATAGTATTCTGTTCACAAGTTTTATATTACTTTATCCTGCAGAGTTGGCCTAATATTCTTACAGGCTACACTGCATTGTATTTGTAGTAATAGCATCTGTATTTGAAAATGTTCTTGTTATGCTATGGCTTTTTTGTTGTCTATTAGTTTGTCAGACCATGTGCTAATAATACACCAAGGCTGCAGGTTCAGTGCCTGTATGGGCCATGCACTTAAGAGCTGGACTCCGTGATCCTTGTGGGTCCTTTCCAACTCAGAATATTCTGTGATAATTGCTCCTTTGTTATACTTACAATTTTGCCCAGTAAATGCTCTCTTCAGTTTTGTGGAAGTCTGGTGCTCCAATCTGTTGGACTTCAAATTTTGTAATTGAATAATCCTTTTGTATGCTTAATTCATTGTGCACTTGTCCATAACAGTTTTCATAGAAAAGTATGTTTATGTAATTAATAGTACTTTTTTTTTTCATAACAAGCCTTCTTATGCAAACTTTATCATAAGGTGTCACTGTAGTAATAATTATTCTTGTATTTGCAGTTTGCTTCCACCTCAGTTTCCTCAGGAAAAGCCAGTCATCAGTGTTTTCCCACCTGTGAGACATCATTTAATGGACAAGCAGGGGGTATATGTGACCGGTCCATTAATAAGTAATGTATGTATCATTTGTAGCTTCACACAGATCTACTGTTAATAGCATTTAATACATCTCACACTAGATTATTGTTAATAATCCTGGTAAAAAAGATTAGTATAGATCCTAATCTTTTTCAAACGGTATTTCAGGGCCTGAAAATAAATTCAGAAGTGTTCAGTAGTTATTCTAGTTATTCTTTTACTGATACCATTTCTGACTTGAGTATTCCATGTATCTAAAACTATTTTAAGTTATGAAGGCTTAGAAAATTACTATCACATTTTTTTGGTTATTGTTAATTGCACAGCCCTTCCAATTACATTTCAGTGTATTCCAAATAAAGGAGAGGGATGCTTTAAGACAGTTTTGTAACATAGTTCTTTCTAGCCTAATCCTATTAGACTGGCGTCAGGGTTTTAGCTCCAATATTCAGGATTTTAATATGCTGGTCTTTTTGTCAACAAGATTGTCCTATTTTTTCTTGAGTGGATGGAGGTTCTGACTCTTTTGGAATGTAGTTAGTGCCTTTGTCCTCAGATTTTATTTTTTTTTCCTCTTCTGTTCTTTGCACAAATGTAACTTGGTAACTGAAGTGGGGATTTTTGCTTGTTCAATAGCAATGTGGTACTTCATTGACTCTCCACTGATAATGGAATATACAAAAGACTTTTAGTTTCTGTTCAACTCTGGGTTGCTTTATCACTTTATTTGGAGTTTATGTATATATAGTTTGGATTAGCTAGTATGTCTGAAATAGCTTTTCAGCACTGTCATGGGAGTATAATAAACAATCAAGTTCAGCACATTTTGGAACACTTGGATTCCAGACATAATTTTTCTTCTTCTTTGGATTTTATTTTGTTTTTCCCAGTTTACAATGCATTCAGATCTTGGAAAAATTATTCAGAGTTTACTGGATGAGTTTTGGAAGAATCCTCCGGTTCTAGCTCCTAGCTCAACGTCATTTCCATAGTAAGTTATCAAAACATCATAAATGTCTTATTAGTTTTTCAAAAAGCTACTAAACCAATTATAAGGAGGGCAAAGACAGGAATAATGTAATGGATATACCGGAAGAATTAGATTCCCTGTGCTTGCACAATTTCATGTAGATGACCTGATTGTTTTTAGAAGAGACACTAGATTTCATTGGAGTTACTCAATGAACATGCCTGATAACTTTATATCCATTTTCTTGAAAAATAAATTTTTACATTACCGGATGAAATCTGGAATTTGCTGTATTTCATTATCTGAGCAGTTGTGTTTTTTCATATTCTGTTCATAATCTCCCAGGCTTAGGACAGTTCCTTTTGCACCATGTGCAGCAGAAATTGAGTGATTTAAAGAATTGTGTTAAATTCAGATTGTGTCTGAGTCACAACTGTGGTTCTCATGGCTGACGGTGATATTAAGTTTAGGTGTGGCTGCAGTTGTGAATTTTAAAAAAAATCATTCCTGTTATTTAGAAGTAATTACTTGTGTGTTGCCCAAGCTATTAAATGCTATACCATACGTAAGAACTAATGTATGACACAGATGTTTTTCTCACAACTTTAGGATGGAAACAATTTAAAATTATGCTGTCATAAATTTGTGAGAAGTAGTTTTCTCATAATTAAGAATCTAAGTGTGTATTTGGCTGTTCTACAAGAATGTAGATTAATGCAGATCTGGACTATATTGCAGTATTAGACAGAAAGGATTATTACTTTGGTAGCAACTGAGAACAGAAAATACAAAGTTTATGGTCACTTGAAAATTCAATCTTATGTGTGGTCTCGTAATTATAATTCAAATGACAAGAGATGTGCTGTAAGCAGTTGGTTGCTCATGGTTGTGGTTTTGTTTGTTTTTAGCCTTTACAACAAACCAGCTGGAATGCCTCCTTTTGCTCCTCAGGGGTTTCCATTTCTCCCTCCATATCCACCTCAAGAAACAAACAGAACAATGGCACCCATGCCCGTTTCTGAATCAGTTTCTTCAAGCTACACTACAGACAAGCCTGCTGCTCCCTCCTATGGCTTGATTGCTGATCTGCCGCTGCCTGTCCCCACAGCAGAGGCGGTGCTGCAGGTCGGTGTGCTGAGTTTTGCTCTTTAGGCTGGCAGACACTGGGTATAAGTTCCCTTAGAGGCACACAGGGCATTGCTGTTAAACTCAAGGAAGCACTTGAGTGAGTGAACTTCATTGTTTTGCTGGTGCTAGGGAAGCAAAAGTGTCATTCTGGCTTTGATGAATTTTTTAGAACTTGAAGTCAGAGCAACAAGTTTGTCTGAGTTTCAATGAAACTAGTGTTGTGTTAATGGCCTTTGATGATAGGGGTTTTGTTTTGGAGCTGCACTCCCCCATAGGGCAGCTGTAGCTGTATCACCAACCACAGAAGATATTTTTTTCTTGCTTGCTTTCCTGCTCAGAACCTATTAGGTGAGGGCAATGTGCAATCTCAAGTCTTTATGTGAAGCATTTTTGTATCTTGTATGTTTATACTTAAACTTGTATGTTTATACTTAAACTCCCTGTTGCTGATGAACTCTGGAAGAAATTTTATTTTTAATAAAACTTTGTATCTAAATGTTTAGTCTTGAATCAAATCATGTCTATGGAAACAAGTTTTCTTAGGCTTGGAAGGCACTTTTGTAACTTCATGCAATTTAAATTTTCTACAACTGTTTTTTCCTTGTCTAAAACATTTGTTTTCTGAGAGATTATAGCTCTAAAAACCACATGAAAGAGATCAAAGTGTCAATCTCCTTCTCTGTTCTCACTTCTGTGAGTTTTACTATTCCTGTTTATTTTCTCTGTCATTCAGCTGCTTTCAAATGAAGGATGTGGCAAAACAGAATTATTTTCCTCCAAAACTGACTCATCTTTTATGACATGTTACCCCAAACATCTTCAAGCATTTTGTTGCATTGGTTGAGTTGTTTTCTGTTCAGATACTACTGCTTCTTACTGCTTTTCATGCTTCTCTTGTTGCTGGAAAATATTCATTTTCAGTTCTCGATTAATCAGGTTAAATATCAAGAAACTGCACTTGAGAAATCTACTAAGCATTTCTAAATTTTGACTCAGGTTGGCCAGAATGGATTTACATACAAGATGCCTGATATTCCTGATACCTTTCCAGAGCTCTCAGAACTAAGGTAAATTTCCAGAGGGTAGCTGAACTTCTATAGTTACTGAAAGGCACTGTACTGTACTACTGGCCTGTATCTGATTTTTGTCAGAGGTCTGTACATATCACTGAAAGGGTTTTGTAGAAATTATAATTAGGGGAACTGCCACATACCAAAGTAAAGTATTTATTTTTACTGTTTCTTACTATCAGTGTTTTGCTTTTTTCTGAGGCCTTACAAGGGACTTAATTTCTAGTAATTCAATAAGCATAACTTTTGAAGGAGGAAATAGAGTAGCTTGAGGCTGGTTCAAAAATTACATTCTCCTAAGTGCCAAAGAACTGTAGTGCAAGGTGAATGGAGAACTGATTTGTGAGCAGCTCAGCATGCTCAGGGGAGGCTGGCTTAGACAAATCCAGGAGGTAAATGTGTCTGCTGTCCCAGTGCAAATCACTGCTACATCTAAATACTTTATACACATACTACACAAATATTTTCATCTGTTTGTCATTATTCAAACAAGCTGTATTAGTTATTGCTCCCAGCAGCTTGCTCAGATCTAATGAGACAGTTTCCTAGGTCAGTTATGTGGGGTGGAATAGGTTACAAATTCACTATAAACTCCTTCAGATCTCACATCTTTCTGGTGGTGTCATAGTTAAGCAATTAAAAACTGTTGTTTCAACTGGGGTGGCTTTTTCTTTTCCTTTGACACTTTCCAAAGAACCCGTTTAGTTTAGCTGACTTAGCTTTTAAGTTCTGACAGCATCCTTATTACATAACAGCAAATTAAGATTTTTGCAGGGAAGTGTAATTTGTTAAAACATTCTGATCAAGCCTGGTCCTTTCAAGAAGGCTGGATTAAAATTCCATGATTCTTCTGTTGGTTGTTTAATGGAATGACAGAGGTATTGCAGCTGTTCTGAATAGTTCTGTTCTGTATAGGTGGCATGGTTATGGTAAAGGGGGATTTTTGAGTGGCCTTTGTGAGAAAGGGTCAGGAGCTGCCCCTGTGCCAGGCACAGCTGGTTTGGCAGCAGATCCACTGCAGGACTCCTGAGTCCATTAGTGAAGCAGGCACTGCCTCTGAAAACATTTTAGAAAGAGCAGAGGCAGTGAGGATTGAGGGGAGGAATGGAAAAATGTGATAATCCTGCAAACACCAAGGTCAGGGAAGAAGGGTGAGAAGGAGGTGCTCCACGTACCAGAGCAGTTACTTTTCCACAGACAGTGTAAGTTTTGGAAAAGATTGCAGTAGTATGGGTATTTTTAAAATTACCCTGTAGCTGAGAGGACTGCGCTGGAGCAGTTGCCCACACTGCAGTCCAGGAAGGACCCAATGTTGGATATGCCCTGAAGGAAGCTGCAGCCAGGTATTACCTGGACTGGATACTCATGCCAGGAACTGAATGCAGTCTGTGGAGCAGGGGTGAAGTGTGAGAAGGAAGGAGAAGCAGAGATGAACTGTTGGGGACTGACTGCTGCACTTGCAGTTCCCCCTTTGCCCCAAGGAGAGGGAGGCAGGGAGAGGCAGTGTTGGGCATGAAGGAATGCGGTTGAGCCTGAGGAAAAATGGAGCAGTATTTTAGTTTTTGCCTTTCTTGCTTACCATCCAACTCTTACTGTAATTGACAATAAATTCAGTTAAATTTTTCTGAGAGTGTTTTTGTGTTTGATTGTAACTGGTAAGTGACTTCACTGTTTTTATCTCAACCCCTGAGATTTTCCTCCATAGCCTGTTGAGGAGGGGAACTGAGAGAGCAGCTGAGGGGGCATCTGGTAGCTCAACATAGTCAACCCACTATAGTAGCATTATGGGAAGAAAGGCATGAAATGGGAGATATTTTTTAACATGCTGCTTTTTAAATTCACTGCTGCATATAGTAGAACCCACAATCCAGTAGAAAAAGGAAAAATAAGTTGTGCTCAAGTGTCATGTATTTGTAAAGTCCCAAAAAATGCCTCAAATTCTGGAAGTGAACTACTTTACATGTGGTGTTTTCAGCTTTAAATGTACTTTCTTTCTGTTTGAGTACAGTATATCACAGCTGACCAGTATGAATGAGCAAGAGGAGGTGTTACTGGAACAGTTTGTGACTCTTCCACAGCTGAAGCAAGTCATTACTGACAGAGATGAGTTAGTGAAAAGCATTGAAGAGCTGGCAAGTAAGCTGTCAAAATGTTAACATGTGTGGCTTTGTTCTGTGAACTAAATCCTTTAAAAAAAAAGTAGTAATGGTGATTTTATTTTTCAGAAAAAAACCTGTTGCTGGAGCCTAGTCTTGAAGCAAAAAGACAGACAGTGTTGGATAAAGTAAGTTAACAATAAAATAATCTTCAGAAATATGAGTGGTAGTATCTGGAATTTTTTCAAGGTGATAATGTTCCTTTTCTTCTTCCTTCCAGTATGAGCAACTCACGCAAATGAAAGCAGCCTTTGAAAAAAAGATGCAAAGACAGCATGAGCTTAGTGAGGTATAATTCCTACATGATATCCTTTAAGAATACTTCGATAAATCTGAAATTTTGATTTGTATCTGTATCCATTAGGAATATTGTTTTGGTTAAACTGTCATTTAATATGAAGTAGATTAAGTATTTTGTCAAATATGAAAAAAATTGAATGATGTACCAAAAAGTTAAAAGCAAAATAATGGCTTTTCTCATTGGGTTTTTATTTTTTACTGCTACAATAGGAGCAAAGGAGTTGGAAGAAAAGAGTAATGTACATCTAGAACTGTTTAGTACAATCCCAGTCCAAACCAGTTTTAAGAATAGAATAATTTTTAAAGAAGGCTTGTTCAATTAATGGTACTCATTTAACATAATGAGCTTGTAAAACTGTGCCAGATGAAAGTGCTCAATAACTTCAGGAACTTAAATTCTGCAATTCACTAGGCATGCTTACTTCAGGCAATATGCTCTATGTGCTGTCAAACCTTGCATGTTTTACAGTGTAAACAGGGCAGAAGTTATTAATTCAGAAAGTATTGGAGGAGGAGAATAATTTCTTGGTATGTTTACCAGGGTATTCATTAGAAGATATAACTTCTGATAAACCACTTTCTGTACTAAAATCTTCATAATTTGCAAGACTTGTCACCTGAGAATGCAACAGTCCATCAGTTTAGCATGCATAGTACCTGAATTTCTGAATGTCCCCAAAATAAGAAAACAAATTTAAAAAAAAAACAAAACCAACCAAAAAGTTGCATGATGGCAAACCAAATGATTTCATAGGTGGTCTAAATGTTAGAGATTTCCTCACTTGAAAATCAGAAGAGTCTGACTCGTAATGCCTCCTTTGACCTTTAAATGGGTAGAGGTAGTTGATGTGGATAAACCACCTATTTTTGCAAGAAACCACTTAAGAACAGGACATAACATTGCACTGCTGTAGTCCCTTTTCTTTTCTCTAAATTAGATTTGCTGATTCAATTTAGTGATGGTTAGCAGGCTGAGAGTTGAGGAGTAGCAGTTGAATTTTTCTGCTTTTTTCCCTATATGCTATATCTTCATGTAGTGATGTTTGCTGTGCACAGGTATCTCCTGCTCTCTTTCCTTCAAATTTCCAAACAAGTATTTTTACTTGTATTGAGTGAATTTTAGTCCTCTTTTATTAGAGCAAACTCTCTGTATTTTGTACAAGATCAATTTAACAGGAAATTTTTGATTACGTTAAAATTTTTAAGTATATAAGTAAAAGATTTTTCATAGGGTAGATGAAGGTTAGGCCAAGCATCTAAAATCTATAAATGCCTTAATTTTGCAGTTCTGGCTCTCTTCAGACTCCTACTGGATGTGAGTCATGTCCTGTTTACCTGCCCAGATATATTTGAGAAAAAATAATGAAATTGTATGCAATAAACAGAAGTAAGGTTTGAGGTTTATAAGAACAGAAAAATGAGTATACTGATTAGGATTAGCAGTCTATCTACTTCTTGAGTAGGTGCTTTTTGCTTTCCTGTCTTCTCCACAATCATTTCAAGGGTATTTAAAAGCTGAACAGTAAGTTCTTTTTTACCTTTTTACCTTTTTATACTTCTCAGGTTCACAACTGATTTTCAAAAGTAGACCCTATTTATTGAAGACACTTGAAATGTTAGTTCTACTCAGAAATCATGCACTTGAGAACTTGTCAGATTTCCAGGCTGGATGCTTTCTACACTGTAGGGTAAAAGTTGAAAAACTTTATTCATTTGTGTGAATGATTGTGTATCAAGACCTAAACTAGCAACACTTTTCTCACATTGAAACCTTTCTAGTTTAACAAGCTAGAGTTCCATCTCTGTAACTTGGAGATGAAACTTCATCTGGTTACTTAGGCTTTTATGTAATAATAGTGCTCTGTCCACATATTCCATATTTATAATGACTATTTATATAGTCATTATCTTTTTGAAAATATGAGTTTTAACAGGTTAATATTACACTGGCCTTTTTATTTTCTTAGAGTTGCAGTCCAAGTGCTCTGCAGGCCAGACTTAAAGTAGCTGCTCATGAAGCTGAAGAGGAGTCTGATACTATTGCAGAAGACTTCTTGGAAGGCAAAACAGAGATAGATGACTTTCTTAGCAGTTTCATGGAAAAGAGAACGGTATGTAATATACAAGTACTTCTAACCCAAGACATGTACAACACACAGTGAATAAATTTAGGACTTCTTTTTTTAAGAGTTTGAGCAGTCGTGTGATACAGAACAGTGCTTTAGTGAGCTTTGACAGAAGGAGAAAAAATCCTTAAATGGCTTCAGTTTCTTTAGACTATAATCTGCATTCCAAAGGCACATACTTCTAAGATGGGAGTGCAAAGGTCTTCTGCATTAGACCGTATTCATGTGCTGTTGCAGATATTTTTGTGCCAATTTCTTCTGTATCTTGTATAGATATTGGGGAGGATAGCCACATGGTAAATTTCATATTTGGAAGGTTGACATAAACTGACATGTTGCATTAAACAACCTTTATGTTTAATTTATTAAACTTCTTAAACAAATTTTGTTGATGGCTATCATCAAATAAGTAACTGGGGTTCAAAAATCACCATTGTTGTTCATGCTGTGACAAAAGTAACTTACCAAGTAGTGTACCTTTCTTTAAAGGTGCCCAATAAATGCATTTTGTAACATTGGAAAGAATCCTCTTATAAACAGGTTTGGATAGAATAATTTTATCTGTATAGACCATTGTTCCGCCCAAAGCTTGGGAGGGAGGTAGGTTAGGCAGGGTTTTCTTTCTTTAAAGAGCCTGTAAAATAGCTAAGTCATTAAGGAGAAACTGCAGTATGCATTATAAAAAACTGCTTTTAGAATTCAGTCTTGTATGTCTTGTTTCATAGCTCTGCCACTGCAGACGAGCCAAAGAGGAGAAACTTCAACAGGCAATAGCAATGCACAGCCAATTTCATGCTCCACTATAGGTAAACTTGGTTTGTTAAACAATTCACCTTATTGGTACACATCTGGTAACTGCTAATGCATTTGATGCGGTGTTTATTGTTCATGTGGAAATCAAGTGTGTTCTGCATCTGTTGTTGCTTGTATTTAAAATATAACTTCTGGAGAAATTAAAATATCTAATTTTGGAAATTTGTCCTTACAGACTTCCTGCAAACTACACCTGCCAAGAGAACGAATGAAAACCCCAATAAAGCACACTTTTTAATAACTATTATTTGCAAATAAGCATTTCATCTTATCTGGTTGTATTTATAGAAGAGATTGTATACAGAGTTGGGATGGTTTTTGTACAAATTAGAATGTCTCTTTATATTCTCATTGTACTCAAGAATCCTTCTATTACAATCTTTGCATTAATTTCTTGTATTTATTGTTGATAGTTATAATATTTAAGTTCCCTGCTGCTATACTCCATTGTTCAGAGATTAAATATCTAAACATGTAATTTTGACTAGCTTTTTACATTTTTATAAAAACATAATTCATATCTTTTGTATTTTGAATTTTAACCATAGATTTGGCTTAATCTGTGGAAGACTTTAAGTGATAGGACTCTGGAAACTAAAAAAATTCTTAATGGAGATTGCCACTGGATTCACAAGCTGTCTTTTCTTGAAGCCAAAATATTAAAGAACAAATTTTTTTACTTCTAAGTAATAATAGAAAACTAAGTATAGCTTGTATTGTGTTTTGGATGAGTAGATTGGGGATTAAGCAAAGGATGTGTTGGAAAAAAATTATACTGGAATCAAAATAGAATAAATGATACCTGCATAGATTTGTTATGTTGCTTAGTAGCACTGATGCACTGATTTCAAGAGTGGTTTGGTACCTACCACTAATTAAACACAATTTTCATCTAACAAGTGAGGTTCATTTTCTTTTTTTTTGTTCATAAAGGAATAATAAGCAGGTCACCTTCTTGTTTCTGTTTTGTGCAATATAAATAAGTTCATCATGTGAGGAACTCAGAAACGGTTTACAAAAACTACTTCTGAAGTTCTTTGGAAAACAGTTATTTTTTACTAACGTAAAGAAACTAATTTGGTTGTAGTTGTCAAGTGATTGGATTCAGAAGTGAAACTCAATTCTGTGCTTTAATCAATGAATCTTGCCTCTGGTAAGCTGACAGTCTGGGGATGGGGTATATCTGGTGAGAATGGGTAGGACCGAATGCAGTGTTCTGTAGGAGAAAAATACAGGTCCTAAATATGCATGTATTTTCTCTCTTGCTATTGCAAGAAGACACATTCTTTTTCTTAACCTTCTCAATGCCTCAGGTTTTCATGGAGACAGTCAAGGAGGAGGAGTAGAAGAAATGCTAGAATTTTGAGAGTTGTAAGTAGGATAAAGTGCTGATTAAGTAATGTATCAGAAATCCTGCTTCTTTCTTGTCAGGAAGCAGTCTGGAGATAAACCTCTTAGCCAAGACTCTACCTGTGTGTTACCTAGATAGGATCACAGAACATGGCAGGTTCAAATCTCAGACCACAATCCAAGCATGTGCTTTTCTATATCACTGATCTTCAGTCCTAAACTTGATATTCTGCCAGCAAACTGTGATATTTCTTCTGAATGAAGGAAAATCATGTAAGTGCAAAAAGTCTGTTCCACAGGCTAGTGGGTCTTCAGTCTCAGCTCTGCCATTTGTTACACTTTTGTGATTGTCCTAAGCTGTTCCTTCTCAGGGTGAGTAAACTATTCACTGGTATTTTATAGGACGTATTTTAAAGCTGATCCAAATTCTGAGATCAGATGTCCCAAAAAAATAGATCTGTGGTCCAAATCAAACATACTTCGGTGTCTGAAAAAAAATCAGCACTTTATAAATTGAATGCTTAAGCAATAATTTTAGAGGTTCTTATTAAAAAAAATGTGCTGCCTGTATATTGACATAGCACTCCTGCTAATGTGCTAACTAAAGCCTTAGGTTATGTAAACACCTAAGTGGTTCTGAACTTGTGTCTATGAGTAGTGTGATTTCTGCAGCTCTGAAGAGTTAGGTGTAAGTCATCACTGTAACCTTCTTGGCAAAATCCCATCTAATTTTGTGCTGAGTTGTTTCTGATCTGTTTCTGACAATCTAGTTAACTCTCAAGACTACACACAATCCTGTGCAGAGCTGGTTTTTTTGTTGTTTCTTGTGAACAGAGACAGGCATGGATGACCAGACATCTGGTGTTCTTGCTGTATTGGGCTAGTATCTTCTTTATACGTTTTATAACAGGATTTGCTAGTACAAGTTCTGAACTCTTCAACTTTTCCTCTTATGTTACTTCAGTAAGCAAGTTTTCAAATTGGGAAGTTCTCCATGGAGTCTTTCTGATGGTAGTGGAGTAGAATCTACAAGAAAATGTCACTGTGTATTGCAAGTTCAGTGTTTGTCGTTCAGGGATTTCAAAGTTAAGTTCTTTTTTCTCCCTTTCTATTCTCTGATGTCATTGTTACTGTTCTTTGGATATTTTTCCTTTTTTTAGCCCCTTCTGCTGTCACAAACCCATCCTCCAGAAAAGAAGCACAGAAGTCTCTGTATTCAATGATGATGTATTCTGGATTAGCTGCAGGAATGCTGTCACATCCAAGAATATCCAACCTGTTTATGGTCTTTAAGGGTCTACCTGACGCTGGTTGGAGTGGGATTTTTTTGTTATTGTTGTTTTGTTTTTCTTTTGTTTTAGTCCCACATTGGTTGTGCCTTCCCTGGTTTACTTTCACCAGAAGACTAGGTAGAACACTGATAACACTCTATCAGAGTTAGGGATGGTAGCCCACTGTTAAACACATTCTTTACCTCAATTTTTGCCAAAATACGAAGTGTAGGTGTAAGTCCAGTTACCATAAAGTGTAAGAGAATGGCGGGTGCTGTTAGATGCATATTCTAATGGTTTTTGAAATATGTCAAGAGAGCTTTTAAGCAATCTGGAATAAAAGGCTGTGTACAATGACTTGTTTCTTGGGAACCTTGCACAATGTCATGCTCAGATGTTCTCCCAATGGGAAAGCCAACTCAACAAACAAGAAATTCAAGAGTAAGAAGATGGCTCAGCTCTGATGTTGCAGTTGTTTGCAGGGGGGAGTGTACATTCTTTGTTGGAACCGCTGATTGACTCTGGGGTTTGCCTAATTTTAATACCTGATCTTACTGCTAAAGCACAGAATGGGTCAGGTTGGAAAGGTCCACACTGAGTCATTTGGTCAAACCACCCTGCTGAAGCAGAGTCATCCTAGAGAACATGGGACAGGATTGTGCCAAGATGGTTCTTGAATATCTCCAGTGCAGGTGACTCCACAGTCTCTCTGGACAATTGTTCCAGTGCTTAGTCACCCACACAGTAAAAAACTTCCTCATAATTGGGTGGAACTTCCCAGGCATCAGTTTCTGCCATTTGCCTCTTGTGGTATTGTTCAGCACCACAAAGAAAAGCCTGGCTCCACCCTCTTGACACCCTTCCTTCAGATACTTACAGACAATGATGGGGTCTCCTCTCAGTCTTCACTGGCCTAAACAGGCCCAGCTCCCTCAGCCTCTTAAGTGATGTGATCCGCTTATCATTGTTGCCCTCTGCTGGCATGGCTCCAGGAGCTCCGTGCCTTCCTTGTTCTGAGGAACCCAGAACTTCCCCAGGTGCAGGGCCCTGCATTTGGTCTTGTTGAATTTCAGAAGGTTCCTCTCTGCCCATCCCTGCACTCCAATGAGATCCTTCTGAAGGGCTGAAAGCACTCTGGGGTATTGGCTGCTCCTCCCAGCTGGGTGTCTGAACTTGCTGAGAGGCACTATGCCAGCCACTGCTGCAAACAAGAGACTGGTCAGTCAGTTCTAAGCAGTATGAACTATAATTCTGTTTGTTCTTTACATACTCAGCAACTTTGCCACTTAGGAGCTGGACCAAATGTGGAAGTTAGAAATTTTATACATGTCCAAGTTCTAACTACTCCCTTCAAATACTAGAATAAATTTTTATAAAATAGAGATTTAAGAGACCTTCAGGTAAAACTCAGTTAAAACTTTGGCAACAAAGTCATCACAGCTTTAACTATTCTGAACAGTAAATACTGTAATGTGCTAAACTTACAAATAAAGGCTTTAGGGTTTTAATATGTCTTGTATAACTTACAGATACAGTTGGGCACTGCAGGACTTTTTGAGTGGATATAGAATTGTTTTGGAAGTGGATGCAGTACAATACTCAAGGACAAACTTTTTATCTTCGTGTGCAGTGGTTTGAGCTTTTCCTGTTCAACCATTTAAACAGCAGTAATTCTTGGAGCTACCGTCACTAAAATGGGCTTTAAAAACCTGTATTGCATCTCTGGGTTTTGAAAATGCCTTGTTTTGGTCAGATACCTGTAGACATCATATTTCTATGCAGTAATAAGCTATAAAGAGAGCCTATATTTCAATAACAAGGGAATACCTCAATATAAAGAACTGTGTTCTTTAGTCTTCAGAAACAGAATAAATTTATCTGAATAACCTTAACAACAGACTTAGTCCTTGCCTGATTCAGTTGTTGTTCTGGTGGACCTGTAATGTTTCATTAGCTTCTTTACAGAATGATTTATATTAAAAGACTAGTACATTTTATTTTAACATTTAACATTATTGGATTTGCTGGTTTCAGGTGCTCTACTGGCAATTTAAATAATATAAGTAAATTTGAATGTTTATTTTATCTTCTTATGCCCACACTCTGGCACCTCTCTGAATTCAGGGTTTGCAGCACACTTGGCTCTAGATCTTTGGCATATTTTTCATGTGTCTTAGTATTGTCATAAGCTGACCTACTTCGAACTCATCCAGCACATGTTCCTCCCTTCCCAAATGAATTGTCAGCAACTTACCTGTCCTTGGAGGATTTTTCAGCCACTGTGGTGTTTACCTGTCTCTGCACAGAAGCAGCCCCTGGCCTTGGCTGTGTTTGTGATCTACTTGAGAACTCTTGTGTGCAGTTCAGGGCAGTGTCCACAGAAAAGCATTATCTTAGCTGGTCAACAGTGATGGCATTCTTACCTTCATTGCAAAGGCTATCCCATTTTGTTGCTGGGGTTTTATTGTTGGTTTGTGTCATTAAATATCTTTCATGCTGTGAACCCATGCCCTGGCTTGCCTCTGTCTTCGGAGAACGTGGTTCCGTGCCTTGCTGATTTTACAGAGAGCTTTCCTTCCCTGCCTTCCTCCTTTTACTTTCTGTTTTTCCTTTTTTATTTTTATTGATGCTGTGTTGTTGTGCCCTCCAACTAATTAATTTCTCAGCTTTTTAGAGAGTTAACCACATTTGTTTCTTGTATAGACTTACCAATAAAAGCAGCTGGCAAATAGTTTTCCTTCTGTAAAGGAGGATTCAGCTGTTTGATCCTATTGCCTTCAGTGTCCCTTAGAGGCACATTTTGATACTAAAGAGCAGCCTGAACTAGTGAGGACTTCAGCAGTTTAGTTCATCTGTGTCCTCTTTCAAATTACAGTGGGCTTATTGAAAATGGGCCAAATTTGCAAAGATTTGCAGCAAGGCTACAAGAAAACAATGTAGTTAATAGAGAAGTCTTTTTATCTTTTTTTTTTCCTCATTTCCTAAAAAATAGAAATACAGGAATATAACATGTTCCCATATAATTAACACAATTTATGAGTGTCTCAGTTTGTTTAGTTATCCGATGTAGATTCCTCCACAACTGCAGCTACTGGATTCAAGTATCAGAGTAGGGGAGATACAAGAATCCCTTGATCTCAACAACAAAGTAACTCTTGAGTAAATGAAGAACTCTATTACAAAAATCAGAAAAGCAATCCTTTGTTTCATTCTCTGGTGTGAAATAACATTTCAGAACACCTGAGTGTTTATTTGAAGGTGTTTCTCATTAGCCTGATAATGTCACAAATACATACAGTACAATGTAAGCAGTAATAGTTAATGCAAGAACTCTAAGGACTAAAAGACACATCACAGAGGGCTGCTAAGTGAAGGCTTAATAAAGAAAATATTAGTATGTTAATATTTTAGTTGTAAAGCTAGTTACAAGGAGTTGCATTAGCAACACAAAGACAGTGCTTTGAATTTCC